TTTTGGGTCACAAGGCAAATGTGAATTTTCAAGGAAGGCCAGGCCTTTTTTGCCATATCATATGCTTTTTTTGTATTTATCATAGCATTCGACGACATTACTTTTCTGTGTGTTGATATGACCCAGGCGAGGTTGAAAATGCAGTCAACCCTGAATGAGAACAACCTTTGGAAAAGAAGGCTATGGGAAATTCAATGGAAATGTCAGCTCTAATTATATCATTGTCGGAAACTTCAACTACTATTCCTTCATCACCTTAAACAAAATAAAATGAACAGAATTTTTAAGTTTAAAGAAGAATACAACCAGATTTGGACGGTATAATGTTTCAAACAAGAGTACCTGAAGTCCAGCAGTCTCCTCATTATCCTCTTCCGCTTCTGCCTCTTTGATCTCCAGTTTATTTTGAGTATCTTTTTTGGTCCCTGCTGATCTGTTTTCCACCCCTTCGAATGAATCTCCTACAAGTTGAGGCTGTCTGCTATTTTCACCCACTATACAAACGCCACTCATAGCACCATCCATGTCGTTGCTGCTGCAACCACCTTCCAATCGATTGAATCTTCTACCATCTTTCTCAGGTAGCGAGATCTTCATCCTGTAGTCCTCATCGTTCCAAGTGCACCATGTGCCTCGATCCGAGTTCACTGGCACTGCTAGACGCACCACACCATGACCAGCTCGCCTTAGCCGGCGAAGTAGACGTTGCTCACCACATACAGTATGGCCGGCTAGCGTTGATGAAGAATTCCGGCGGAGAGGGAGTACAAGATCGGCACGAAGATCGGTTGGATCAACAATCGAAAGGTGACTAGCAGTTTCATCGGCTAAACAAACCGAATGCACATCAACACTGTGTAATCTGAGCGATAAAGCCTCTAGCTGACTCGAATTAGAACAGGCCAATTCAGGACTAGAGTCCAAAGTACGGTGAGTGAAGCATCCTGCGCCCTGTTGAAAATAGGCCATAGGAAGCAAGATAAAAACAATAAAAATATGAGCATGAAGGATAGTGGATAAAATAAGATAACTCAATATTCTTGCTGTAACGGATTATGATAAGGCTTGATTTTTAGAGACCACACATTCACAAAAATATAACCTATATTCATCTTAAACTTTACCTGGGATAATGAAGATGATCAACGATAGGGATGTGACAGGTCAAAGCTTTAAGCTTAAGGAGCAAGCACATTCCTGGCCACACTAGCCGCAACTGTCATCCAACGACCTCAGATAATTTCCCCCGTCTGTATACAGTTTTCAAAGCTTTCCTGAGTTAATAGGACCTCGTTTCAAAGCAAAGGGAGAGAACCGATAGTATTAGACC